TATCAGCACGGGCCCGAGTACAGGGTGTCCTCCCGCTATCAGCACGGGCCAATCAGCCGTTGCAGCTCCGCCCCCCAATAATGGACAGCACCATGAAGCAGCCAGCCGAGGGCCCCCCCGCACGTCACAAAAGAGGATGGTGAGAGAAATGTAACACTATGAAGAGCTTTATTCCAACAATACAAGACAAAAATAGAGCTTTATGTCCATCGCTAGCTAAAATAATAATAATAAAACTATACAGACAGTTCATGATAGATTCCCTTCCCAGCCGCCGCGCCACTCACTCGGACACACGCCGCTCAGCACACGTTATACACATAACACTTTATTTTCATCAAAGAATTACAGGAACGTGTGTAGAAACATGTCTGGAGACTCGGGGATCAGGCTCAGGTCACTCCTGTCTGTCTGGAGACTCGGGGATCAGGCTCAGGTCACTCCTGTCTGTCTGGAGACTCGGGGATCAGGCTCAGGTCACTCCTGTCTGTCTGGAGACTCGGGGATCAGGCTCAGGTCACTCCTGTCTGTCTGGAGACTCGGGGATCAGGCTCAGGTCACTCCTGTCTGTCTGGAGACTCGGGGATCAGGCTCAGGTCACTCCTGTCTGTCTGGAGACTCGGGGATCAGGCTCAGGTCACTCCTGTCTGTCTGGAGACTCGGGGATCAGGCTCAGGTCACTCCTGTCTGTCTGGAGACTCGGGGATCAGGCTCAGGTCACTCCTGTCTGTCTGGAGACTCGGGGATCAGGCTCAGGTCACTCCTGTCTGTCTGGAGACTCGGGGATCAGGCTCAGGTCACTCCTGTCTGTCTGGAGACTCGGGGATCAGGCTCAGGTCACTCCTGTCTGTCTGGAGACTCGGGGATCAGGCTCAGGTCACTCCTGTCTGTCTGGAGACTCGGGGATCAGGCTCAGGTCACTCCTGTCTGTCTGGAGACTCGGGGATCAGGCTCAGGTCACTCCTGTCTGTCTGGAGACTCGGGGATCAGGCTCAGGTCACTCCTGTCTGTCTGGAGACTCGGGGATCAGGCTCAGGTCACTCCTGTCTGTCTGGAGACTCGGGGATCAGGCTCAGGTCACTCCTGTCTGTCTGGAGACTCGGGGATCAGGCTCAGGTCACTCCTGTCTGTCTGGAGACTCGGGGATCAGGCTCAGGTCACTCCTGTCTGTCTGGAGACTCGGGGATCAGGCTCAGGTCACTCCTGTCTGTCTGGAGACTCGGGGATCAGGCTCAGGTCACTCCTGTCTGTCTGGAGACTCGGGGATCAGGCTCAGGTCACTCCTGTCTGTCTGGAGACTCGGGGATCAGGCTCAGGTCACTCCTGTCTGTCTGGAGACTTGGGGATCAGGTCACTTCTGCAGATTCCCATCTTATACTGGGCCAATCAATCAAGCAGGAAATCCTTGCAGTCCTCAGCAGAAACATAACAGTCCCCCCCTCCCCCCTCAGTGGAAACCAGCTGCTGTTCTTTCCGTTGTCGTTGCATAGATTGTGCGTCTCAATTTTTGGGGCTCTGGCTAACGAGCAGAGGTAGCCAGCCGCCGGAATGGTTGGGACAGTCATCAGGGGCCCTTCCACCTGCTCCCCATAGTGACAAGGACACCAGCCTGCTTCCAGGAGCACCGGCTCACGTCTTGGCCTTCCTGCCTCTGTTACTGCTGGGAAAATATAGCAGCTGACTGCGCGCCGAGCGAGTGTTACTGGCGGGGTTGGCAGTAAGGGAACTGCGCAGAACCCGTTCTACCGGGGAACAACGTCGTTTTCTTCTTTGTCTGCCGCTGGAGCTGCCGTGGGGGGAGGAGGATGGCGGGCTGGGGGAGCTTGGGCTGGGTGGCTTACGTTTTTTGGTGGCAGATCTTTCTAGGATGGGACTGAGGCGGGGAGAACGTCCTCGCTGCCGTTTGGGAGATACTCCATGAGGAGCTTGGCTGGTCTCCAATCGAGTCCTGGCGCTGCGGGTTAAAGGAGTCCTGATAACAACCTCCTCGTCTTCGGAGGAGTCATCCGTGTCAGCGAGAGAAGAACTCGGCTCCCCCGTATTGGTGGTTTCCGCTTTCGGTGGCTTCCTCCGACGGCCCCGCGTAGTAGTGGTCCGGGGACTGGGACTCCGGTCAGGAGAACTGTGCGACGGGAGACCAGAGTTTGTTTTGGGTACAATCTGCGACCTGGGTGGCCGGCCACGTTTACGCTTCGACGGCGTGATCGGTTCCTCGGCACCGCTGCTGCTCGTGGCCTCGCCGCGCACAGAGGGAATGTTGGAAGAATCGGTGGGAATGGTGGATGGAGCGGGGGGATCACTTTGTCTTTTGTCATCGGCTTTCGTGTGACCGGAGGAATTCGCTTCTGTTGTGTCCAGCTGGGAAAGATTGAGCGCGGCATCTTCGAGGACAGACGTGGGCGAAGATAGAAGGGGAGCCGGCGGTGAAGCACAAAGGGGAGACGGTAGCACGGCACCAACAGGGGAAACCACAAGAGAGGACGGCAAAGCTCCGAGGGGGAAAGACATAGGAGACGTAGGAGAGGTCGGCGATGCTGCTGGAGATGCTTCTCGTCGTTTTGGGGGTCGTCCTCTCTTCCTCTTCTCAGAAGAACTGCTTTCGCTCTCTGAAGTCAATTTGGAGGAGGCGCTGGGAGTCGCAGGGGTCTGGCCGAGGGATGGGGGAGGTAACTCAGAAAGAACTACAGGAGGAGGAGGAGGTGGCACAGGGGACTTGTCTCCCAGAGGCATCTCCAAGACTGCAGTAGGGGACATGTCTATACTAGTCTTGGGGGGCCTACCTCTCTTTCTCTTTGGTGGGGGGCTTCCAGCCTCAGAGTTGTCCTCAGACAAGAGATCATGGGGAGGACTCTGACACTCGGCAACGTTCGGGCTGAGCGCTCCATTGTCTAAGGTAGCTTGCTGTCCTCTCCCCCTAATGTGACGGCGAGCAGCAGGAAGCCTCTCTTGTACGACAGTAACGAGGCGTCCAGGCAATCGCCTCAGGACTTTTGCAGCCGGGGAGCCTTCACCAGCTCCAGCCAGCAGAATCTCACCGTCTGCGGTGACTTTTCTACGTGGTGTGCGTGGTGGAGTGGGTTCTTCCTGTGGGGGAGTGGTCACCGGGCTGCCTGGCGTCTGCTCACAAGTCTCAGGGCTACCTGGGGTAACTTCTGCACTTGGCACCGGCGCATTGTCCACCTCCGGAGGGGCGGTAGCTTCATCGCCTGTTTCTTGTTTAACAGAATCTGCGGGACTTTCCTCTGCCTGAGGGACAGGAGACGCTATATGGGAAATGGTGGACTCCGATGTGACAGCAGCATTGCCGGAGGTCTCCGCAGCATTGCCGGAGGTCTCCGTATCATGGCCTCCGTCATTCACATCAACAACGGAGGACTCTTCCAGTGCCGGGACAGAGACTTCACAAGGGACCTGTTGGTCAGCGAGGGAAACATCTGGAACATTTATTATGTTCTCTGCAATGTCTGTGGGCTCAGCGGCCTTGTTTCCTCGTAGCCTCTCACTCATTCGAACGCGTTCTCCAGCTGGCCGGGCCGGCGTGGGCGTTCGCACTTTACGGTTTCTCCTGATTTCGTCCTCCCACTTTTCCTCAATACTTTGACCATCATCTTTGGCTAGAATCAGATCCTTGCGGGCAGCTTCTACTTGTTCCTGCACCAAACACAGACAGAGAAGGCGTGAAAACAAAATAAAAAGGTGAAGTGTCCTAAATACAAACTATGCGAAACAGATAAAACTCCATGGGCAGAAGTATGTGCACCCCTGAACATCTCTCCATCAGCTTGCTGGACATCCCATTCCACAATTAAGGGCATCAATATGGAGTTGCCCCCTTTGTGGTTATAACAGCCCCCAATCTTCTAGGAAGTCTTAAAAGGAGAACTATGAGGGGGGAGGGGCTTGTCACTCACCTCATAGTTTTAGCCGACGTGTGACAATGAGACTGTCACAGGTCGGCTCAGTAGATCGGGAGGTGAGAGAACACATACCGGCGCTCGCTCACTTCTCCATCCTGTCACGGCTCTCTGCCGTGACAGGGGAGGGGCTGGATTCCCCGCTCTGATCCACCAGCGCTGACTGGCGGAACGGACGGGGGAGGGGCGGGTACGGCTGGCTCTGCCTCTAGATAGGCGGAGCCAGCTGTCAGTCACGCAGCTGGGCGGGTCCAGACATAATTGTCGGGATCCGTTTCAGCTGCGGCGTCTCAGTATACCGCGAGCTACAGCTCCCTATATACTGAGCCTAGGGTGACGGGAGGACGCTAGTTTGTGTCCTCCCCCGACCCTGAGGAGGACTATGGGGAAAAGCCCTGACCCCATACTTCTCCTTTAACAAGATGTTGGAGGGTGTCTGGGGGAATTTGTGCCCATCTGGGAGGTCAGGTACTGATGATGGATGACAGTTGACCTTTCAATTCATCCCAAAGGTGTTCAGTAGGGGTGAGGTCGGGGCTCTGTACAGGACACTTGAGTTCCTCCACCACACTGGTCACACCATGTCAGTATGGATTCAGTCAATGTCCAACTCTCAGCTTTTCTGATTGGTCTCCTCACTATTCCTACAACTCCTCATCTAGTATGGAGTTGCCCCCCTTGTGGCTATGACATCCTCCAATCTACTGGGAAGACTTTCCACATCATTTTGGAGAGGGTCTGTGGGAATTTGTGCCTATCTGGGAGGTCAGGTACTGATGATGGATAAGAAGAACCGACTCGCAATCCAATTCATCCCGGAGGTGCTCAGTTGGGTTGAGGTCGGGGCTCTGTGCAGGACACTCGAGTTCCTCCACCACACCATGTCTGTATGGAGCTTTGTACACAGGGGACAGTCATGGGGGGACAGAAAAGGGTCTTCACCAAACTGTGACCACAAGGCTGGAAGATCACAATGGTCTACAATGTCTTTATATGATGGAGGATCACCAGAACCTTCATTGGAGACCCCAGAACTCCATCATTTGGAGGGTGTCCCATTTGTGGGTCAGGTCCTGATGTTGGATGAGAAGACCTGGTCTTACAATCAGAGTTCCAATTCATCCCAAAGGTGATCAGTAGGTTGAGGTCGGGGCTCTGTGCAGGACACTCAAGTTCCTCCACCAAGCTGGTCACACCATGTCTGTATGGAGCCGGGTTTGTACACCGGGGACAGTCATGGGGGGGACAGAAAAGGGTCTTCACCAAACTGTGACCACAAGGCTGGAAGAGCCCAATTGTCTACAATGTCTTTGTATGATGGAGTATTACCAGACTCATCCACCGGACACACTTAGGGGGGGAGGGGGTCTAAATACATCTGACCATAGAGTGTAGAGGGAAAGCAGCCTGCCTTGTGGACAGAGCGGTAGGAGGACGCAATCCTTACCTCAGCCTGTTTGAGTTCTTCCCTGCTGATCTCTTCCAGTGACGCTTCCAGGAAATACATGGCATATCGTTCAATCGGCGTCAGCTGGAAGGACATTGGGGGGTTGGTTAATGTTCCATCTCTCAGAATTCATAGCACAGCAATTGTAAACACTCATTACCTGCTCCACCAGCGCCGAGATCTCCTGCTCCACCCGGTTTTGTTCTTCCTCTTCTGGCTCTAGTGGAGCATTCTCATTAAACTCTGCAAGGTCAGCGACCTGCTCAGCACGGACCAGAGAGGCCGCCAGGGTGTCCTCTTCATCCTCTGCTCGGCCAAGCGCCTGGAAAACACAGAGATATCAGTGAAGGAGAGCGGGGAACTCAGGACTTTGCCAACGCCATCCATAGACAGACATACAAGTCAGAGAAGTCCACAGCGCCTGTACCTGCTCCAAAATATGACTCTGCCGCAATGCTCCTCCTTCTTCTGTGCTGTGGGCAGGGGAGGCCACACGACCTTCACTTTCCTTTCGAGTATTATCTTCCATCTCAAAAAGATCCCGGATAGTTTGCTGGAAGACACAGAAACAGAGGTGAGAACCCCAAAACTTCGGCAACCGGCAGACCAGCAAAGAATAAGGGCAATCGCAATGTAGACTTCTGGCCTGTGAATGGAACCCGGAACCGACTGGACCTCTGAGGGTCTCTCCATGTGTGAGGAACCCAAAACAGGACAGACTGAACCTCTGAGGGTCTGTCCATGTGTGAGGAACCCGGAACAGTGCAGACTGAACCTCTGAGGGTCTGTCCATGTGTGAGGAACCCGGAACAGGACAGACTGAACCTCTGAGGGTCTCTCCATATGCAAGGAACCCGAAACAGGACAGACTGGACCTCTGAGGATCTCTCCATGTGTGAGGAACCCAGAACAGGACAGACTGAACCTCTGAGGGTCTCTCCATGTGTGAGGAACCCAAAACAGGACAGACTGAACCTCTGAGGGTCTGTCCATGTGTGAGGAACCCGGAACAGGACAGACTGAACCTCTGAGGGTCTGTCCATGTGTGAGGAACCCGGAACAGGACAGACTGAACCTCTGAGGGTCTCTCCATGTGTGAGGAACCCGGAACAGGACAGACTGAACCTCTGAGGGTCTCTCCATGTGTGAGGAACCCGGAACAGGACAGACTGAACCTCTGAGGG